GCTTGTGGATGAAGAGGAATTATTCTTTTCCCTTGGAGGAGAGGTATTTTCTTGCTTTCCCATATTTCTTGTGGTCCTGCAGTGATTTCTTGTCATCTGATCGATGGTGTGTTTCTTTCTAATTCTCGAAGTTCAATCTGAATATTCAGGAGCAAGCAGAAAGAGGTGATCTGGAGTCTCTTTGCCGTTCTGTTGTGATCGCTGGTGCAGCAGATTCAGTATATATTGAGGAATATGTTAATCCTAATAGTATTTTGATGTTTAGCTACAGTGCCCTTAGATCCATCTAGAAACACATTAAATGGATATTGAAGAGAGAAGAGAAAAGAAAAAAGAAAATGAAAAAGAGAGAGAGAAACAACAACAAAGAAAGAGAAAAAAGAAGACAAAAAATGAAAAAAATTGTAATTATTGTTTTTTGTTAAACAAACAAAAAAACAAAAAACTAAAAACAAAAAATAGAAAACCGCACAGCGTGAATAACTAGTTCGCAGGAGCCATGAGGAATCTTCTTCTGAAGGAAGACCTCCCCTCTCCTGCCTGTGTGGGAAGACCAGAGGGGATTATTAACAAAACAAAAGGTGGAGCTAAGAGCAAGAGAAAAACTTTATCTTTAAAAAAATCGTAAAAAGAAAAAATTACAAAAAAAATGAGAAGACAGAAGCAGAGAGAGACAGAGACACAGAGACAGAGATAGAAGGCCAGAGGGGCTCCCTACCATGCTAACTTGTTTGCTAGAGGCTGAATTATCAGTAGAAAATCTTCGTTTCTCTTGTCCCCTGAAATAACTAGTTCGCAGGAGCCATGAGGAATCCTCCTCAAGAATTTTATTGCTCTCTTTTGAGCTCATTATTTCAACTATGAACCAGCAGATTTTCCTGTACACGACTAGAACCAAGTTGACCATCTAAGATCATTGTGGATTTTATGCAAAAAACTGATATTTGGTAAGCTATTATTACTGAGCAGAGTAATCATGTCTCATAGAAGCTGTCTTGCATATACTTCAGTTCTCAGCGATGACTTCCAGCAGCCCATGAACAGGAATGTGGAGCCCTAG